TCAAGTCATTTGCTAGGATATAAACTGATACACTGATGAACTGTTATAACATTACACGTATTAATAAAAGAAATATTTTATTTCGATGTAGGTAATCTATCTCAGGCCTCCAGCATGCAGTTCATTCACTGCTCCATTTGGCTGAAGGGCAAGGGACCACCATAAATGGCAATAGCCATAAGTTTCAATTTTTATATCTATCTAACTCAGTTTACAGTCCGTTAGTGTTCTATGAGGTGTGGCAACTTAATACTTTGTATTGGCCGTTACGGCCTCGACAGCCGTTCGGTTTTAGTACTATACTGAACCCTTCTTTAGAGTACCTAGTTATGTACAAAAATTGAAAGATATTGTTCTAAGTTAACTAAAAGTTGGTAACTAAAATTAGTTCATACAAGCGTGAGTATTTTATTTGCCTAAGAGTGACTATTACAGACTTGTCATGGATATGCAAAATATTAAAAATTTCTATTTGGTTGTCCCAGATATCCGGTGAATTCTAGTGTAGATAAATACATGTGGAAAACTTAAAATTTCGATCATGTATATTACCTACTTGATATGGGGTGTTGGTTGTATATTTATTGTCAAATAAAGCTCTCCGAATAGAACATTATAGCATTATAGCACGCATGCCACATACTTTATCTCCCAATCTTTCGCGGGGCTTAGGTCTGTCATCGCTTCACTGTCTTGGGGCTTCACAGTTTATTGTGGGTAATGGAAAAATTCTGAAGTCCTGATCTTTCCTAACAAACATAGTGTAAACATAACATAGCATTTGATTCAGTCTTTTTTATGATAGTTTGGTTATTAATGTAATAATTGTCAATTTTTTTTAAAAAGTATGTATTACTGTTTATTAATGTGTAATGTGTTGTGTTGGTTGTTTCTATAGTTACATTTAGGAATAGCTTCGTAAGTGACTTTAGTACCTACCCAAGAAATTGAATCTCGTTGCGTACTTACTTATAATACGAGTAAATAGTTGATTCGCTATTTGCCCACGCTTCAAGCCGCAGTTTTCTCCTAATATTGGAATTCTTTGTAAAATTTTTGCTTTTACTATGAGAATACTTTTACGATCAAAGGGTCTTGAAGTTAAAGTACCTACCTAGGTACTCACTTACCATTCACTGTTGTACCTACCTATAATACTCAAAGGTTTGCGCAGCAAATGTAAAATTACACTGGTTGTTGGATATTATTTTGTTTTTTAGCTCATTTTGTAACTGCAACCACCTTAAAAGGAAGCTTAAAAGCTTGCAGAGCTTTTCAACGGGAAACAACAAGACGTTTCTCTAACGACCGAGGAAATAATGTTCATGAACTTAAAAAAGTAATGTGTTTATTTAAGTATAAGTGAAAAAACAAGAGAAGAAAGTGTATTTACGTATTCTTCTTCCTTTTAATTTCACGGACAGTTTTCTGCGTTTGCACATTGCACTGCTCTCAGGCTTTTTAGACTCGTGTAAATGGATATTTACTGGGTAAACGTGCTCCATCTTAGATTTTATTATCACTCACTTATGGTGACTTTGAGGTGAAACACTGGCATCAGTCATAAGTAAAAAAAAGTTGCTTTTAATATGTAGGTATACGACTATGTACCTACTTATTCTAAAGCCACTCTAGATAGATACAGTATAGGTCGTTGCCGAATGAAATCCTGTTTAATTTTATTCGGAATTGAAATTATGGAGTCGTCCCCGTCCTTTGAAATTGTAAACCTATCAATTTAAAAATCTAATTTGGAGCGTGTATAGCCGGGAAGATTGATGACAACACGGATCGGATGAGCGCCCGCGCCAAACAATTTTCTTTCGCAGAAGGCCTGGAAGTTTCGGGAATTCTCCTGTTCACTGATGCATTATAATCAGGGTGGCGTAATTTTTACACTTGGGTATCTAATTTCAAAGGACATCGTTTTCTAATATAATTCAAATCCATAAATAGAAAGTAGAACCTTTCTCAACTTCACGTTATTTTGCCAGGATACTGCACATTGCATGCTTAACTTAAAAGCCAAAGTTGCCAAAACAAAATGTATGTTTTAATGCGCACGCATTAAACCAGCCCCGAACATAATTATCCTAAAGCCCCGTCGTTAATACCCACATTAGCCGGCTAGGGCGCGTAACGTTCGCGCTTTGCCCGCACGCGGCTTAGCTTCCGCTCGCCGGCTGTAAACAGAATGACGCACGGAGTTTTTCCGAGCGACAGCTTTTCTAACTTTGCGGGATGGAATATTGCGGGGACTAAAATTTTTGTCGTTAGTCAGCGTATTTATATTGTAATAAACTGAGTGTTTACGCTGGAGAAAGAGGATTATTTTATTGAAATATTACTTTTGTCTATTGCCAACCTACTCATCATACTTACACCCGTATTCACAAACGATGCTTAAGTGAAGCAGAAAATCGAACGCACAGCGTTGAAAACAGCTCTATGATTGGTTCGTGTGTCACCCTGTGCGTCCACGCGCACTGTGAGACCTCATAGTAATATTTGTGAATACAGGCGTTACAAATTGGAAAATACAATACCACAAACTATAACACGAACTATACACACGCGCCAATAAACTTAGGCAACCTTGCAAAGCAATAAGTTTGACACCAAACTTTGATGACCCAGTAATTTGAGAAAACGTGTTGTTGATTGCAAGCCGAAATATTTTGACATCACTGATGCTTCAGTGGCTGTTTTAGTCAATTTTCATACAGTCCATCCAAAACTATTTATGCTATGGAGTTCAGTATAAGTACCTACTAGTACCTACTCATAATCATTAGTATATAATGTCGCAAGTCAAATTATCTTCATCACTTGGAAAATGTCCAACTTCTACTGACATACTGCTAGACTTGTTTGGTGTCCTTTTGTGTCGTTTTTTTTGGAACCTTATGGCGTTGTCAGGGGTTTCAAATATCAATGATTATAAACGTGCTGAGCCAGCGAACCGATACTCCTCGAGCTTGAGCACGTCGACACAAAAGCTCACGTATCTGATCTCACCCCATTTGCTGATTTAGGACCGGGATTTTGGAAACAAGAGCTTTGGAATCCCTCGTATTTTTGTTAAAATTTTTCGTACAATTAAGGATAGCGGGTATTTTGTTGTTTATAAAAGAGAATTCTGTAAATAGGCTAAGCTTTTCAGTTTTAAATATGTTTATTGAATGTATTTACAAATGGTAACATTTCCACATTCTTATATCTATCTTAGCTATTTACACGTTATGGAATGACGGTTACCTAATTCATAGTAAAGGCTAATTGGTTCCAATTTAAAATATTACAAAATGGTTAAATTATTATTGAAATTTTATGGGCCCTTGCCTGAAATAAATGAATTTTAATTTTTAATTTTAATTTAAATTGTAAAATATATTTTTAATTAATTGCCACCTCCTAATATTATATTGTGAACACAATTAATACATGTTCTGCAGATCAAATTGAACTCTAAAAGACTACAAGAAATAGAGCTCTATATTTTTTGATGTCATGTAACAACGGATTTATTTTTCTTTAATAAAAATATATTTTATTATTATAATTGCTTTTTCGCGTTTAACGCCGTCCCTATATCACTGTAATTTGTTATGACACCCATCCTGACACGCGCGTGTCGCAATTTAATTTATTATGAGAACAATAACGGATCATACATGCCTACACTTAATATAACATCACTAATAAAAATGCAAATATAATAATAAAATATGGACCTTTGTGATCCTTATGATAATTTTTGACCTCAAAAAATATTCAGCATCAACTTCAGTTATATTTTTTATTTACTTAATAATTTTCGCTTTAAGTGACTAGACTACAGTAAAATAAATGTTTACCATTAAAAGTTCCTTTCTGTGGAGAAATGATAACACCAACCGATTTTGGTCAATAGCCACATGGTTGGCTTATCGGTTATTGCCTCAATAAATCATTGCAGGTCGCAAGAAGAAAAGAGGTTATAACCATTTATTTATTTTTTCATACATTTCAGATGGAAATGACATGGTTGTTTTTAAAGCACCTACTTATTTTTAAATAAGATGATATATTTACTTTTTATTTAACGCTGGTAAAAGGTTCTGAATATAAATATTTTATTCACGTTTTCAGTAATCATGTTATGGAAATATTAAAAAATCTATCCATTCTATGTTGTTATTTCCCTTACGGCTATCTTCGGCCTATATACGCGTGTTGAATTTAAATCACAATGTTGGTCTTACGATTTGCCACATTTTTCAATATCCTACTTGGATATTCTGAAGGTATCTGCCCAGTGTATGAGGGTAAACTGCGAGATCGATATGTGGCATGAGCCACTGTTATCTGCCCCTACATATTTCAAGCCACGTTATCAAGCCGTACTCAATGTGTGTCAGTCGGTAATGTTACTGACTTTATTATACCAATAAATAAGGTCTTTGCAAATTGAATGTATCGAATTTTAGCTTTCTAGCTAAGGCACAATTTTGTTAATAATTTCCTTTAATAACTTTCAAACCGATCTCTTTTATAGTCTAGTCTTTCACAATGTACTACATTGTTCCATTGGTTTAATACGAGTCCTTGAAATGCCATTGAAACCAATTAACAGCCACGTTATAAAAAGTTCAGTCAATTAACTGCAACATCGCACGTGAACGTAATACATTGTGTAGTGTCTCAATTTTTGGCTAAACTTCGAGCAGCCTAACATCTGGGTTAACGACGAGCTGCGCAATACCAGCGCATCTCTGAGGCAACTGGACTACGGAATGCTATTTCCAAATTGTAAAGTTGTCTGTTGTTTTCACTAACATACCTTATCTTTGTAATGTTTGCAAAGAGATTAAGTCTAAAAAGGCTCTTCTACCAAATTGATTGGGCTTGACTTGAGACAAAGATTCCATGATTGAGAAAATATTCCCATGGATACTTTTCCTGAAAAATTTAAAGTTGTATTAGGAAGTGGCAAAATGTCATAATTTTCGGTAAACAGATTTGTTGTTTTTCATATGATATTTTTTATCAATATTTTCGTCATTACTATGTCTTGCTGTTTAATTGGTAATACTTAATTCAATCTTAACTACATCATTATGAGGCCAGCCCAGGCTACTGGACTATATTCTACCCATTTATACAAATATTTGTGGAGGTGTGAAACACAACCTTTACAATTTAACTTTATATTAAGCCGCGTATTCAACTGCAGGCATTGTAACAGACAGAGATAACTTATCCCAGCAATTGTGTGATAATTTTCATAAATTAATTGTGCTAGTCACAGCGGAATCCGAATATTTGTGTGATCTGAATATTCAGTAGCTGGAGGATTAATCTTCTAAAAATTGAGTTGTCCAATTTAAAAAGCAGATTAAAGCTACGTTATCACAATGTGACTAAAATTCACATTAATAAAATCAAATAATTTGAGTACTACGATGACAGTATTTTCTGCTGTTACGAGTGAATACACGGCCCGACACTGATATGCTACACTGATCACCACAGCCTGTGCTCACTGGCTCTTGTGCTTGTGCCCCCCACTGATGATCCTGATGATCCGCACTGCCGGCGCCTCGAACGCGATGGAGATGGCGAAGGAAGCCAGGAACGCTAGCACGGCGTAACCGGCGTATGTTGTGATCTGTAAAGAGGTAAAGAGCCATTAAATATTTTACTAGTCAAAGTATTATGTGTGATCCCCTTTTGAAAGAAAATAGGGCAATGTTGACATTGAAACTGAAAGATATAAAAGGATAAAATATGGCTGAGTTGCACCACCTAACTTTGACCGTAACTATAGTCAAATTCTAACCAAGATTATAACATGGCAACATAACGTGGTACAACAATAAAATTGGAAGCACAATTTACGGTTCATTGACATTTCTATAGTCTGCTCGCATGTTTTTGTTTAAATTAGTCACATTTAACTTTTTGCTACATCAAAAACGGCTCTATTATGCGTGTAATATAATGTGATCGTATTTATTTTTCATGTTTGCAAAAGTCAGCGTGCGTATTATCGTTACATCGCTTTTGCATTAGAGGTTGTGTAAAGACACCAGTGTCTTCAAATTGCTATGCAAATGCGGCCGGAGGTGCGCGCAATAACGCCATTTTGCCGCGGGACGTAATAAAGCTATAGCAAAGCTCCAATATTGTCTGAACTATTATTAAACCACATTTACCGCGTCTATTCCTATAGATGTAATAATCAAAGTAATAAGTTTGTATTGTGAAGGCATATAACAATGGGAATACTTATACCTTCTTATAGAAAGTTCTCCCTATTGTACTTTTTCACACAGACATTCATTATTTGTATGTATGTATAAGAATTGTTAACATTATAAAATATTTATACAAGGATGCCAGACACATTTTTCTTTGAATATTTGAATAATTTAGAAGTCCCTGATGAATAGTGTTGAGTAGTCCTGAAAAATGTATTTCACAATGACAAAGAAGAGCCATTATGTTTATTTAGATTTTCTTTCAAGAGTACTTTAAATAAGTAAATGCACTTAAAATGGACAGTGAAATAAAAAGCTCTAGTTTTCCGTTTATTTTCAGCTTTATGTTTCAAGGATAGAAGAACAGAGATTTAAGTAAACAAAGTATATTTTGCATATCTAATTATCGAGCTCTTTGAATATTAATGTCCATTTAAGTTTAGTACCTCTAGTACGAAAAACTTTCGAGTTCGTTTCGTTGCGTATTCAAAGTGTCATCGAAAAATTTTGTATGAAAAATTAAACAGCGCCCCCTATATTATAGCCGCCCTAGGGGGCGCTGTTTAATTTTTCATACAAAATTTTTCGATGACACTTTGAATACGCAACGAAACGAACTCGAAAGTTTTTCCTACTAGAGGTACAGTTACTTCCAAAACACGAGCAAGAGATTATTTATTTGGGGCACTCGCTTTGAAACTTTAATCATAGCTGGTTGAAGAATAAAACGGTCAAGTTCATGTTGGACTAGTAAATGAAGGGTTTCCTAGATGTTGTGTAAAATATTTGACAATTATTGTAGTAGCACCAGCAATAGCAATTTGTATCATATAATAACTGAAAACCCTGCGGCAGACGAACGGGTCGGCATTATGTGGTCTCTTCGTAATGGGACCGCGTTGTCACCTTTTGTCGGGAACCCTAAAAAGGCGCGTTGGGTTATTCGTAACATCAAATGAGCTTCAGCTTTCGCCCAGACTGTGCAATTTCTCATATGATTTGCTCCTTGTAAGCCTAGAAAACATAAATGTAAGTACCACTTGCAATCCTATTTACGAAATGTGTTCGGCGCGACAAATGGTATTCTCTTTTTCTTGAAAGCAGCTTTGTAATATTAATGTGGAATAATGAAAAAACAACTTTGTTTAATATTTTTGAAACACGATGGTGTTGAAAAGCCTATTGGAGACCGGGCATTCCGGGCAAGGAAGGAAAATCAAAGATAAGGAAGTAAAATGCAAAACAATATTTTGATTTCCGCATAAACTGAAATATTTTAGGAAAATAGATCATCGCAATGCCAGTTTATCCGCAATTCTAGCTCAACAAAAATAGGTGAATGTTTCCGCCACTTTATATGCATGGAGTATGAAAGTGTGGTTGATTTATTCAGCATCGGGGATTTATTTGACCGCTGTCAAATGGTTGCGAGCGGCGCTGCTTCTGAAACTTCGCCCGCAATGCATTTCTACTTGAAGACGTATACGAAAGTTTGCTCACTGCGCTCTCGTAGTTTCGCGGGAGCAATCCAAATAATGAATATTAGAGACGAAAATTATTTGAGCTCTGAGAAGATGAATGCATTAAATTGTCTGTCTCTATAAAGTTAACTTTGTGTATTGTCTAGTGAAGCTTAATATTTAATGTTCGCGTCTACGACATTAATGGAACTAAACGCTTAATGTGGTTAGGTATTGTGTTGTCAAATGAGTATTTTGCGTTAGTTATGGGTATAGTTAACGCATAAGTATTCTAGTAGACTTCGTCCAAAGTAGGCTACGTGTCTTACCCAAATTGTGAAAGAAGTTTAGGTCACACTACGACAGTTATTTATTACTAAAGACTGCCGACTAGACTTAATGTTTATTAAGTGCTATCTGGTGGTACCAAGATTTTGAGGTTTTACCAAGATATTAGAAGTCCAAATAAGTAGTTCTTGTTTCTACCCTAATGTGCTGAGTGTGTAACATAGTTTCAGAATCACAATGTGCCACTATTGACACAACATCAACTCCACTATTGATTTACCACAATTCATTGTATGTAGAAGCCGGTACATTGTTACAGACAGATTGTCCGTCACAGAAGCAAACCCGGCGACAAGCACTAGTCTAGTGTTGACCGTGGCACTTATCTCGCGTCCAGCAGCGCACATAGCCTGTGCCATTAATCGTCCTGAACAAAACGATAGTGCTGTCCAGCGATGATCGATCGATGATGATTTTATTTTACAGAAGACACAGGAAGTAAGAAATAAATCCACTAAGTGGTTGTGTATTGAAATGGGTGTTGAAATCAGATGTGCTGATCAAAAAGCGAATAAGGTTTCTTTTATTAATTTATTAAGGTTTGTTTTTAGTATTATATTACGTTTCACGCTTCCCGTTCACCTCTCTAAGTTGAATTACATTATTTACTAGGTTTGTGCTTACTTTAAAAGTTTCTAAGAAACGAAATTGGTATTCTCCAATATGTATTAACTTGTTGTGTTTACTTCAATCTAACGCCCAAGTTTAATACCTAACAAGCGATATTATAAACTAATCGATAGCAGCTGCCGGCAACACTAACGAACGCGTTCATCAGTCACGAGTCGGTACCTTCAAACTATGCCTTCGCATAGATACAATGCTCTTATACCAATAGGCATAGAGCTCATATTCTTCGAAGGGAGTATACCACTTATTGATGTGGAATATAGTGGAGCCGAGTCTGAGCCTCATCAGAACCCCTTATCAAGTTTCAAGAAACTACCCCTTCTTTATTGTAATTTTGCCCTGTGTTAGGATGATAAAAATAAAGACGTCGATTTCTCTGTATAAGATCTCAAATTAAATCTAAATAATACTCCCACTGCTTTTGCAAGTCAAACTTAATTTCAGTGCCAGCTGTTTCATGCAAACAGGATATCACAATCACTGCAGCTATAATTGAAATCTTGTTTATGAAAATCCAGTCGAACGAACTTGATTCAATGTGTTTTCAGTTATTAACTTATCTTGACTGAAGTAACTGATAAATCTATTTCTGAATTTTAATTTAGCGGGAAGTGGTCTCTGACAGAGAAGTGTTAATCTTTAATTAAAATGTTTGTCTCGGGCGTAATCTTCAACTTCACGATTTGCAGAGGAGTGAAAGATTTATCGCCGTAATAAGGAGTCCTGTTTGTAGGTCCCCTCTTAAGATCTATTGTCTGAGAACTTTTATAACTCGCACTACCACTAAGTACGCAATAATAATGTATTAAAGTTCAACGCAAGCGTAAAATAACTTGACAAGAGTTATGCTGAGATTTAGTACCTAATCAAGAATGTCATAAAAAATAAATAATGTAAAACATGAAAATAAATGGCTGATAGCGTAGATACCTGCCTATCGAGCCCTTAATCTGTCTCCAGTACCTCGGTAGGCTTCACATAAAACGGTGTCCGTGATTTTATGATACAGGTCATCATGAGCGCGGGTTATCTCTTTGGCCTCATAAATTCTTTCTTATTATTATGTCGAGGATTTGTCAATATGGAGATAATATAGCACGCGATGTAGATCGATATAATATCCACAGAATTTAATGTCATGGGCTGGAGTACTCTAATTGTTCTCAACAGATATGAGTTTTACAATTGGGATGACGATTGCAGACGAGCACAGTATTGTATTTTTAAAGACACAAATGTTTTTCGAATTTCATTCTCGACGTATATTTTAAAATTGAAAAACATTCTCTGATTTATGTACGGATGTAAAAAGCATTCGTTGTGCAGAAGCAAACAATGGACAAATAAACCAAACCAAAATAACAAATAAAATACAGTATTCAAATAGGAAGTAGGGCTGAATGCATAATGTAATATGTCAATGTAAAGTGTTTTTAATTTTCATCGAACGGTTAACTTTTTACATTCGTTGAAATTGCTCGCCATAAATGAACATAACTACCAGCATTTCAATTCAGTTTAATGGTAACTTTATCCATTGTAATGACAATGCAATTACGTAGTAATGGGAGACCGGGAAATTATAATAGGAAAGTTCTCTTCGTTAGGTGCTGTGCCCTTATAGCACATCTAGGCAAACTATGTTACACTATGTTAGGCAAACGGACGTTTCTAGACTCAGAATTCATAAGTTCTATAGGTGTTCATGAAACTCCTAAAACAATCCTCATTTCTTATTAGACCTGGCGATAACTATAATGGGCTGTTCAACTCCCTGTGAGTTGACCTGCCCGCCGTAGACGCAGTACGTGAGCCGGCTGAGCGGCAGCAGCCCTCGGTACGACAGCAGCGAGTTGACCAGCCCGCCGTAGCTGCAGCAGCACTCGATGGTCACCCACGCCAATGATGATGACTTACCACAGTGGAGTTCTGCAGGTGGTAGGGCCCGTCCAGCATGAAGCAGGTGAAGACCATGATGGTGGGGTGCACGAGGTAGGCGCAGTACGTGAGCCGGCTGAGCGGCAGCAGCCCTCGGTACGACAGCAGCGAGTTGACCAGCCCGCCGTAGCCGCAGCAGCAGGCGATGGCCACCCACGCTACTGCCACTCCCCATGCTGGAATAAAGTATGGCGTTAATACACGATAGCTCCTTTTCAGAATTCTTAATTGTGGAAAATTGAGAGAAACTCTATCAAAAGCAGCATGTGTGTAAATCAAAAGCCAAATGAAAAAGACTGGTAACAAAATACCAGTTTGAAAAAGAGGATGATAATATGTCACATAAGTTGTAGGAATGTGGTATTAGTAACCATTTTGGGTTATTGCTTATAATAAACCACATATTTTAATTAAGTACTTACTTGTTTTGAAAATGTAAAGAATCTGTTTAATGATTTTGTTGTGTAAAAATATCAAGCCAATCTTAAAATTAATAAGGGACTCAGCCAAGTATGGGTTGGGCCGTGAACATCAATCACGCTTGTTTGCTATCCGCCCAGAGGGGCGCGTTTTTGGCGGTGAAGGTTAACTAATCTTCTTTCTTATATCGATCCTAATAAAAGCTACTTTTAGAAAGAACACAGATCAAATCTCGTAGAATGTAAGTAGGCCAATCGGTGAGTGCTCGTCTAAAAAGAATCTCGCTATTTTACATCGCAGCCTCCGCGAAATCAGCGCGATCCAGACGAATATCCCGGCCGCATTGAATAAACGGGAGAGATGAGAAATCTGATGGCCATAAAATACGAGTAGAACCAAAGCAATATCTGATTCTTCTATTTCTTTGCGTTTGTTTTGTGGTATTCAAAACTTGAATCTAATCGTAGAAACTGAAATTAATTGGGGCAAAATAGGTATCTTTACCTACCTACTATAAATACATTTTATTTTCAACACAATGCGGTCGAATCCGAAACGACAATTAAAGTCAAAAGCTTTTGTATTCCCAACGGTAAATTAACGTTAGGGTATTGTGATTTATGGACAGGGAAGCATTTACGAAATCTTTATTTTGGTATAGGTAATTTGTTTCCACAAATGACAGGTGAAATAATAGAGCTTTAACTTTATGCTTACCCTTTACATTTAATAATAAGAGCTGTCAAATACATACCTACTGGTATACGACGCGTGCTATAAAAAGCTCACGTCTAATATGAATCCACTAAACCCAGCAAGTGTTTATGATCTCCTATACCTCAAGAAACATAATGTAAGTATAATAACCTAGACTAGACAAAACATATTACAGTACACAATAATATTACCTAGTGAAATAGGATATGAGTTATGAAGCTAGGCCGAGTGCTTTTCCACGATAAGGCGGTACATATTGTGGGCGGTAGACTGGGCTTCCCGAAGCAATATTATTTCGGAGACCGTTGTTATAATTTACTTCGGCAATAAATATAACGTGGCCCGTGAAATCGGACACAGAACCCGTGAAGTGTAAAGTGGCTCAAAGCAGGCGATAATCAAAGGGATAATAAACCTTTGTCGGGTTCTGGGTAGGGCTAGTTGCGTGTGATCGACTGCTAATGGCCTAATTCTATGCGGGTATGTGCTTTGGATAGGTATAGGAATGTTCAGTCAACTACAGCTGCTCTAAAATTAGATTGTCAGAGTTCCCCTTTCGAAACGGACTAGACAGACAGGAATCCAAGCGCAGATATGCTTAATTTTTAGCTGGTTGACAATCGAATTGCTATGAGTAAGTATGTACGTATTACCTACAAGTAGATCTGGATTGTAGAGGTAGACCGAGAGCATACATAAGTTTTGTGTAGTAAATAAATATTAACAATAGAAACAAATCAACAGTTTTTTTCTTCCATCTGATTGAATAACAAACTGTTTAAGTACAATTTTTAACAAAAACAAATAAGTATTTGTTTAACGACAGAAATGGATTATTCGTTTTGGAACTATTAAGGGAGCTATTAGGTACTGAGCGTAATCTGAAAATACAAGCTCACATTGACGTGACCGATCCCATTGTGTCGAGTTAAGTACCTATCTAAGGACAAGCCTAATTTTCTTTCCGCAAAGTCCGCCATTACACTACTCACGTTGTAATGAAAGGGAGATGTTTCCGGAATTCCAAGCGGCCCGGGTTTGTCCTACCGTCCTGGATGAGTCGTGTGGCCGAAGTTAATGCAAATTTGGTAGGTCAAGTTTAATTGTGTTTCGGAAGTTTATTTTTATTTTGAAAGTCTAAATTAGCGTGTCACCTCAATCTTCCTGATGATAAGGATTAAGGTATGAGGAAATTTTAGAAGTTTTTTTAGAAAAATCAATTGAATTTATCAGCAAACAAATTACCTATCCCTTACGCTGTTACCAAACATCATCACTGAGTGTCAAATCTATTTTTGGTATATGCTTTATTAAATCTTCTATGATGAATATCAACAACATGATGAATACAACTGCTCTATATTAATTAAAACTGATACCAACATTCATTTGAACGGTTCATAATTTATTAAATATTTCAAATTGAATTCAAGAAAGCGCCAGAGTTAATCCTCGTTAAAATCGAGTGGAATTAATCGTAGTATTGACAGACAAAATGGAACGACAGCAATTGATGGGGCCTTTGATACGAGACCACGGCAAGATTAGGGTTAAGGTCAACTCAATTTGAATTTTAGATGAGCGCAGATTAATCACGAAAGGAGTTAGCGACAAAAGGACAGTGTTAGCGATAATAGGATCTCGGTGCATTGTGTGAAAGATCATTAATTTGCCTGTGCAAGAGACGATTCAGACGACAGCACATCAAGTTAAGCATTGTGGCATCTTAAGCAGTTGTGATAAGAGCGTTTTACTGTAAAATGTATAGTCTGATGTGAAAAGAAAATCGACTGACTCCCATGAAAGAAGTTACCGACACAAATTGATTGCTCTAAATCTTTTACAATCCACTTCAAGATAATTTCGCTTTTCATATAACCTATCTTTCGGGTATGTTTAATATTAATTTGGATTGCTTTGTAGCTAGAGAGTTGCTGTCGCAAGCAACATTTCATTTGCGACGAACGACGCCAGTTACAGTTAATCAAACATTTCATAGGGATTTCTAGGGAACTAAAATCAATAACCTAAAATGAAATGAACGGCTTAGAAGCCATGATAATGACATTTCAGTGATTTTTATTGGTCACAAAAATTGGTTGCTCTCGGTCGTGATGTTAGACTGGCTTTAGGGCGATAACACGTCTGATTTTATAGACTTTAACTAGGTAAATGCTACGCATTGGTGTTGAAAGTAAATCCAATGTTTTTTTTTCACTCTATTACCATATAAAATGTATAGTTGAACTGAGCTTTGAAAGTACATAAGAAGTACATAATTAAGTCCAATAGATGGGTGTGTCAGCTATTATAAAATCTGTACTAAGTTTGATTTGAAAACAAAAATGTATGGAGCTCTTAAATGTATTATGTATACCAATAGACTGATAGTAGGTACTGTAAATAAACCAAATTATAATCATGTAGGTACACTCACTTTACAGATTTTATGAGAGGCCGTAAAACCCGCAGTTAAATATTTATTCGTTTTCTGACATGAAATTACGTGCTGGATTTGGAACAAATTACTCGTAAAGCTTACAGATTTATTTACACTCAGAAAAGTAATATTAGTAACAACACACAACAGTATGTATGAATTACTCATATTTCAATTTCACAAATAAGCGGAGCATTAATTCAAACGAAATTGATGAGTTTTTTTACTGAATTAATAAAAATGAGAGGTTATCACAGTTGTACTTCAATATTAATACAAAATTGAGAAAAGTGGATACTTCATTTTACATCGAATACGTGCGTCGTAACAAGGCATTTGCAAAATTAATAATGATGCCTCGGGATCTATGCGGTTTTGATACCAAGCTTCGTTCCGTCGAGCAGAACGACGGAAATTACGTTTAAGTAAGTATTCTCCGTGATTTAATAAACAATGTTTATTCTCTTCTTATTGGTTTAGACTCGTCAGGTAAAGTAAAAGTAAAAAGTATTTTATTTGCCAACAAAAAGTCTGTTTATCCAGCGGCTGCTGCACTAAGCTGTGCATTCTCAGCTTTGGAATTACAGATATTATCTATAGAATTTTAGTTCCTTAGTACCTACTATTGGGTATTTTGAATTAGAATGAAGAAAAGTCAGTCAAGATTGGACCTATGTTCCTACTACTGTAAGGCATAATACTTGTATATTTTAACCCAGAATTGAAGATAAAGAAAATCTCACTGTCTACATTGTTAACATGCCATGCTTTACAACACGCTCGTCCCATCGAAATTGCTTTTGAAAAAAAAAAATAGTTATGAAAAATGCTATTTTCTCATCCACTCTCACTCCCCTTAGAGCTTAAGCCTTAACAATAATATTGTGATTGGTGTCCAGGGTTGAAAAAGGTTAACAATTATGTTCCACTTACCAGTGTGTCCAACGCTAACGTAGAAGGCCGTGGGCCAGACCTCGAAGTAGCCGTCCACCATGCCGAAGATCAGGCTGCCGACGATGGCCAGGGACCCCACCCAGCCTGCCACCACCAGCCAGTATGGGATGCGGACCTTGCACTTTGTCTTGTGCAGGTAACAGCCCACCATCATACCTAGAAACCAGAGAAGAACTTATTGATGAACTAAATTAAACGAGGTGTCATTTATGCCATGTACTTCCATATTTATTGTACCTACTACCTATACTAACTAGATAACATGAAAATAACTTTATTACTAACTAGATAACATGATAATAACTACATTTTAATTTTTTCAGCGGCCTGTATGAATGATTTATCCCCCAGAAACAGTGCTAATTTATTCAAATCAATTAAACCTTTGTTTATTTGAAAGTGTGAATATTGGAAAGTTCACGACCAAGCAGTCCTTTTGGAGGCTTGGATATACAAAAAGTTGGAAAATTCAAATCAAGTTTTGATTTACTTTACATTTAATCTCATATTTCTCTATATGCAAGTTTTCATGGTTCGAACTCTATAATTTTGGGTGTTTGTTTGGATCCGGGAAAACACAGTTTCCAAAGGAAGCGCTGATAATACAACACAATTCTACGAAGGTAGAGCCGTTGGTACGTAAATAAATTCATTAATTAAGTTAATGACATCATCAAACTTCGAACTTAATAACATGTTTCTGATTCGAGTAATCTCTACAATAATGGTGTGTGATTCAATTTCCATGTGTATTGTTGGCTACGAAAGCAATTATTGTTGGTAAACTCCATAAATTTAGGCTCAAACCAGTTTAATTAAAGCAATTAATCAATAACACTATTACTGAGCAACCTGTAATTGCCAAGTCTATATGATGTCTAATTATAGTGCCTGATTGCTATGCCTGTAAGTACACGGCATATAGACTATTATACTGAAATCAAGTATGATCTATTGGTTTACGCCACATTATGTAAATTGCTTCGACCTACACGATGCGCAAGTAGTTTTAGTTCTTATAACATTAAGATTAGGTTGTGAGTATTATTTGTGTAAGCGTATTTATATACATAATGCTTGCACTATAAAGTTGTCAGTGAAACTTAGTTGTTTCAATCAATGTTTATGTTCAGATTTATGCAATATCAAAATAAACGTAAGAGCTCGGTTGAGCAAAGCAAATCAACAGCGGTTGATTGCGTGTGGTGATAAAATTGATGAGTCAACATAATTGCCCTGAATGGTTTGCAAAATTTTAGCAATGCCTATTGACGCTACCGGGCATAATTGATTAACTTCGGTAATCACCATACAAAATTAAAACGTGAGTGCGTTTTCATGTTTTTAGGAAAGAATGAGTGAGTAGAACAATGCCTAAAATGGCTGTACCTACAGACTGAGAAATGAGATTATGGTGACTATGTGGATTGTCAGTGAAAACCATTACTACGCATACAAAGTTGCTAGCACAGCTAGTTTCTGATATCTCTACACAGTTGAGTTTTATGCAGTAATATTTTATTATCTTTACAAATAAAAGGTGAACCCTCCGGTGCCAAAAATTTAGCATGAAAACTTAATCAGCGCCCCTGTGAACTTGACCTAAAGTGAATTCAGTAATTTAGACAGTCGAGATCGACATATTATCGTTTAATTTGAAGGCTGGATGTCACATTTTTTCGAATACGCAAACGATTCGAAGACGAATGTTTATCGTGCTAGCCACACAGAAGCTAGTGGTAAACGTTAATTAAATGTGAGTATTGAAGTGTTAAGCAAATACGTGTGACCTGCATGTGGAATTAAACATTTTGATGCTATCCCGTCAGTGCCGTAAAAGTTTAATAGAATTTACACTTGTATTTTATTTATTGATGAAAACGGTCTCCTTTGTAAATTACTGTGTCAATCATGCTAACTCGTTTGCATATTTACAACGGGTGTAGATTTTTTACCGCTCGCAATTTTTATTCAGATTTTTATAACTTATTTTTTTATAATGCCAAATGTTTCATGTACGGAATACGGATGTACGTACCAGTAAAACGCAGTTGGGTAAATATATATGACGTACGTACCAGTAAAACGCAGTTGGGTAAATATATAGACGTCCATGTGCAGTACCAACATTAACGTTTAAATTTTAGAGTACTGGTTTATTGCTTCCTATTTCCCCGAAGTTGGTACACAATTTACTACAATTGCCTTTTCAAGTGTATTGGAAGTTAGTGCGATAGGTCCCTGTAGGTCGCACGTACATTGAATTTTACTAGCCCCACTTCCTTCTTTATGAGGCACTTATGAACAATCAATTTGATCAAAATACTCGCTCATTTTCTATTAGTCCTTTAAAAAAAATTAGGCACTTTGCAAAGTTATTCTATTAATTAATTTATTATTGCCATTAGCAAAACTATGTAGACTAAGTTGAATAAACTTGTTTATTTTACGACTTTGGCCTTTTGTGCCAAAGGTCAATTTCACTTGAAGACTAATTTTAGTCACTTAGATAGGCTGTGATTGATATCAAAGTTTAAGCGGTATGAAAACCCAAATGAACGGGCTCATTTCGAACATTCTTTTGTCTGATAACAATGAATTATCGCATTTGGAACTTCGTTCCGCAGATAAACAGCTTCTAATTTCAAAAGGATATCTCGAGTGAATGGGGACCGCAGAGTTATCAAACTGTTCGGCCGCCCATTTGCTTTTTGCGAGACGCCATTATGATGGGCTCGCTGACCTACGAAAGGGATATCCGATATGTCCTTACACCCAAACTACAGCTTTTTTGTCGAAATCGATGAGGAACGTAATAAAACGGCAGCCACTTAAGAGTTATGTCGGTTTTAAGGGGCCGGCTATCATAGCTCTGAAATCTTTATCAATACGACCAGCGGTAGAGGTGATTTCATCTGGGATGACATCAATTCTCCTCAATCCTCCTTTAGCACGTATTTCGAAAGCTTATCTCACTGAAACTATTTTTATACAAGGGCGCGTTATGAAGAGTTACGGACGACCACGCAGGACAAATTTATTTCCTTTGTACCGACAAGGAAAAGCGATCATAAGAAAGCTTTTGTTTGGATTCTTTAGAAAAAGCGGAATCTCAAAGATTTTTCTTTCGTAAATCTCGACTTACCGATCAAATAGGGTCCGATCCTAGACCAAGGTTTATCGTAGAGCGAGTCGAACATTTCGAAGGGCTCCTGTATCCGCGCTTTGTACTCGTGCCACACCGATATGTAGATCGTCGTCGCCCAAGAACTTAATAGCACCATACCGAGCGATATTGCTGCGAGTTTCGGATGTCTAGAATATAATTAATTCGATTAATATAAGGTGATCAATAAACGAACAAATATTTGTAATTAAAAGCTGAACTAAAAGCTATCATAAAGGTATTTATAGCATCTACTTTGCTTGAAGTTTAATTTATTCGCTTAAAGTTATGTATAAAATTAATAGAGCTCCAGAATAGAACGGCAACTCCTCTTCGCAATTGAAATTCCACTTACTTCACAGAAATTAATAACAGTATTATGCCGACCACATAAAACTGCGTGTCGTTCGCCATGTACCACGACCAGACCATGCACATCTCGCGGTTCGTGAACAGATTGTTGATGTACAGCAGGTTCCTCCACCAGAAGTGGTCGCACGTGATGTGGTCCGGGATGGCAGGGTCGAACACCGACTGGTTGTAGATATACCTGAGAGATACCTCTGTAATGCCAATCACAAAGGCGTAAGCGGGCGTCAGTCTTACCACCCGGTAAAAGAACAAGACGAAAAACGATTTCACTATCCTCAACACTTCTCCTTTCCTGTAGATTTTGACTTTCGTGTCAAGCAAGTCTTCTTTGAACGACTGCTGGCTGATCACGGAGATCGATAGCGCGGAGTTGGTGAAACCGTTGATATTTTTGTTTATATCTTGCTTGTCTTTCTTTTCGGCTCTCCTTGCGTTCTTGCGATCCTCGCTTCGGAGGAAGAGCACTGTCACTAACAGCCCGCTGCAAGAAAAATGATTTATTTAATCAAGCCTTCCATTCATTGCTTAAATAGCGAGAATACAGGGGAAACCTTGGACTCTTGGCCCGTGTTGAGGTTACTTAAAATTACTCGAATGGAATAGCTTTCCTACTATTTGCTCACTACATTACACAGCTTTACAAAAGACTAGAACGACCAACCGCTTCGAGATTGAATATGTCAAGTGAATTTATGTGAAATGCAAGTACATTTTCCGTGTAGAAAATCCGGCGTTTATCGCTGGAATAACATAGAACTTGTTAATAGCCCGACTTTAGAACTAAACCGTCGAGTTTCCGACAGTGAATTGCAGATATGAATAGTCTATACCTAGAATTCTATAAGATCCTGTAACAAACACACAATCGCATTTTATAGTCCCAATCGAACGGAAATTATTACGAGTATCACAATCAGCTTAACGGGAATAAAACTGCCTTTTGTACAGTTTAATTTTGTCCACGAATTGCTATCCATTGTTTTAGCGATGCTCTCAAATTAATTGCTTTCATTGAATTTTAATGGTTTAAATGTTAGGTAGGGACGACTAATTTAAATAAAAATATAATTACAATGAAATATTGTTATCAATTACCTTGAAAAAAATATTTAAAACGTGATTCTAAGCAGATTGAAAAAGTTGTTAAAGAAGAGATGAATGGATTTTTCTGACATAAAATTTCCCACTTCGATGAAAACACGGGCTTAAGCCACTAAAAAGGTTTTTTATAAAGATAAATATTTATCACAAAAAATCAAAAGCAACTCACCTGATGAAAAAGAATGTATCCACACAGTAAGAGGCATTGCCCACTGATTGGTAGAAAAAGTTCCTCTCGGTGACCACTCGCATGGTCTTGTTGTCTCCGATGAAGAACACCGTCAGGTAGGTGTGCACCATGATCACCCACATCACTGATAGAAATCTGGACAAAAGTAAATTGGCATTGGTACGAGTATTTATATGAGAACTTCATTTGCATGCCTATCTCCTATCTTTCTTTTAAAATGTGTCTTAAACTAACTATATCACTAGTAGAATATCAAATTAAATCATCATACATTATACGAGTATTATTTAGCTCGTTGCGTGACCTGCGCTACTTTGGGTAAAGGGCTTTACAGGTAGATAATAACAATTAAGTTGTTAATATAGGGTCAAAATCATTACTAAGTAAATACAGTTAAGCTAATCCTAAACGACAGAAAGTTTTGTAATTGCAACTGAACATTTTGGTAAAATCCACAATAACTACGAAACTTTACAATGAAAATCGTTCCCAGGAATATTGCGTGCCTACCGTAATGGTTAATTCAAATAGTTTTTAATTAAGAGAAGTGGTCCATTCAGTCTTTTATCGAAATCGGGTAATAATATCGCTGTGCTTTTAACCAGTATTTACTTTGTATTAATAGCCTTAATTTTAATTACCTTATTCCATGTAGACAAGTGAGGGCACCATCACTAGGCCTCTGCGTGCTGAGTATAGTACGTCCGTTTGACAGTATTGAAAAGGATAGAAGGAGTTCCGCCAGCATACCTGATTAAATAAAACATAATAATATTATTATACGTAAGAACAATTTAATTTAGGTAATTTTGCACGTGGCGATTGGCGACACCGTCCTTTGGGCATTTACTAAGAATTCGTCTGACTAGGAAAAGAACTTATAATAATAAGAAGTTCCGTATTTATTAATAGAACTAAAAGCTCTTCTATTCAAAAATATATAAGGTTTCTAAGAATGCCTATTTACAGACGGCTGTGTTGAAATAATAGATCCCATTTTAATTATAAGTCTCATCTCCAGAACAAACAAGTATTAATTAGCCGAAACGTGATTTAATCAAAGATTGTTTTCCCAGTTCCAATGATGGTTATTAACTCATTCCAATTAGGATAAATCTGTGTTTCTTAAATCTTAATAGAAATGAGAAATTGTATTGGAATTTGGAGCACAATGAGCGATTTATAAAGAAGCGGAGCGCTATTTAAACTTCGCTCAGTAATAATAAAGACGCGTTGCTAATGGATTCATTAAATGGAGTTGCAATTCATCAGTCTAGACATATTTCGTCTCGAATGTTTGAAAGAAGAGAGCAAGGACAATTTAAGTAATATTAAGGAAAATAATTTGTGTTAATATACATTAAGGTAGATTGTCCAAACTCCTGACGTTCATTAGGCCCCTGGAGTCCGGCCTGTGTGCTTGCTAACTTTATTAGAGGCACATGGCTTCTTACCTAATGTAATGTACAGTGCAGGTTTCTATACATAATAATGTTTGTAGAGTCAGCCAACAAAACTATTTTATTAAATTCATTTAAGTAGGTACTAGGTAGGATTTAGTATGATAACTCTTATTTTTTCTTTTATAATGTGAGTTGTAACAAAAGAGGTCTGACTAGGGTACTCTTATAATTTTACTATCTCTTTTCTTCAAAATTAGGCCTACTTACGGACACATTAGAAATTAACCAAATAGATATTAATGAACTTAGTCCACAAAAATGTAGAGTCAATAGTTCTACGAGCAGAAGTTTGAAAATGTTACTTAAAATGAGCAAGCTCGAGTGAACAAAGTATGTATCTATTCACCACGCAATGAATCCACCTTATTTATATTTCAACGCGAGGCTTTTCCTCGGCTTACAGAATTTATCAAATCTCTTTTATCCCTTTACGTAAAGTTCAATGGAGTTGACTGTCTGGAGTTCATATAAGCTTGAAAATATTATTATTCGCCCATAAAAATACTTCAATATTTAAACACCTCTTTGAGGTCTTTGCCAACACATGCATTACTGAACTATTTTTGTTAGGGTAAACCTTGCTTATGAGGAAACAGTTTGTATAAATAAGAAAGCTATTTGTATTCAGCTCAATATGCTTTAAGTTAATTTAATTCATCTTTTTTAGTAAGAAGCGCTAAACATTTTCCCGCTTATTAATAAAAGTTACACTCTCAGTTACACTCTAGTTGAACACTGTTTGAAAGTGACGTCACTTTAAAACGTGTTCAACTAGGGTGTCCTATAAGTACGTATAATGTTGCAAGATTTTATGACCATTAAAATAATTAATACTTACCTTATCGCATGGTGGCTGACCGTACATCTCGTATGACTTACCGCAAGTTTCCCTGCGAAGGTCTTTGTCCTTGTTGTCGGCGACCGCCTTCCCATCGGCCAGCGGCACATTGTTATTCAGCTGCAAATATTATGCACACGTTGTCTTACATCCCACGAGACAATACAATTGGCTATAACTAACTGTGTTAAGTTCACTCCTAATCACGTTTATTATGTAATGATGGAAGCGTGACGTGAATGCCCAACGATAGGAACGAAAAATAATGATGATGCTAGTTCATTTGTTAGGGCAATTTTAGTGGAATTTGGGAAAGTCTGTGCCCTGTAATTGATGTAGTCGACAAGCAGAATAGACCGCAGAGACAGTTGTAATATTGGCTATTTGCACAGTCTTATAACGTCAGTAGGTACATTTCCTACTTTTGTTATTTGTATGTAGTACGGTTCGTATCCATCCATCCATAAATTACTGATCAGATCCCTTCAACGTTTCCTTTCATCGTGCAATTTTCCGAATCACCTATTGTTTAAAAACTATTTTAACGTGAGTTTCAGTCCACCTATACCTACTTAAATACATGTTCATCTCCCTACACGGCCGCATTGTGCCGCCCGGGCGCTTTAATCACTGCTCGGCGCTCGTCTCCGCGGCTTAGGACCGCTGTAATCCCGGCCGGCACGCAAATGCCTAAGTCTAGTCTCTTGGAGGCTTATCGCCCTTGCCTGGGGCGCACTACAACCGTAAACGTAGTGTGTCTGCCATGTACGACTTTAAACTTACACTTAAGTAGTCTAGAGAACCTTTTGTGAGCGTTATCATACATAGCAGGGGCTTAAGTTCGACTTCTACTAATAATAGGGTATTCATGTGCTGCTAAGTTTTCAATCCGTCCTTGCCGTGATCTTTCGAAAAAATAATAATAAAAGAAACTACAATATACAAGAGAGCGACTATCTCTCTCATTATCAGTCAATTTGCTTATAAAAAGGCGCAGTTACACTCATCTTTGTATGTACTTTACCGGTGCACAAGAGGCATTTAATACCTTAAGAATACTCATGTTAATTCCTATTTTAGTATATCTTCTTGTAATTTAATATAAACTACAAGTGCCACAGCCTACACAACACATCATGTGACTGAACCAAGTCGGAGCACACGACATAATAATAAGTGTTGGACGAACAGCTGGGAAATGGAAAAATCTAAAAATAGCTCTTACGATGTCTCTCCAAAAATGGCTTTTAAAATGGCGTGTGTGAATTCGGAATTTAAGGGAGAATTTAGGAAGCCTACGCTAGTCTGTTTAAACTTTTGACTGTCTGTCTGTTTAGTGCCTGTTTATTCCTAGATTTGCTTTTGCGTTAAACTTTTTGAAACACACTCATAAGATTGTAATTTTGTAATTTTTACTAGCATTCATCCTGATTTAACATAGAAGAACATAATAAACATGATTGGAAAACACGAGTAGTTAATACGACAGTAAATTACATTACATTCATAGCTTAGCAAAAATCTTTAGTTCAATAAGTCTTAATAACGTAGTAAATATGGATATTTATGTCTAATTCAAATTGACACCATCAAATAGATTCTGATCTGCATTAAAACAGATTGCGGTATCATTTAAATGCGCATTAACAGCACTTGTGTTGGAATTAATGTAAATCTCTTGTGAAATTTCCATGGATTTAGTTAATGATGTTACTATTAAATTAATTAATGAGTCAAAATATCTAAATCGTTTCGAGCTATGTGTAAGATGTTGGGAAATTATAATAGGTACTTGTGAACGTATTTGTGGTATTTATTTGTATTCTTTGACCCTGATAAGTACGTGTTCACTAATGAGAATTTGAAAATGCCTGTTTACCTTAAAAAATTTACAACATATTATGTTGTGTTTGTATTTAACGCTTAACTAAACTAGTTTTGAACTACAATCGAACAGAAATTTCACTAACATTATGATAGTAAGTAGATAATCCGGGTTGAAACCGGGGCGGAATGCATGTATTGAGAAAAATCTAATTGAAATAAGCAAGATTAGCACTAAAAACACGCTAAGACGGAGCTTATCTTGCCTTCCAAATAAAATGGTATTAATACAGGGCTACTAACAAATATAGGGATTGTAATAATTGAAAAATTAATACTCGAGCTTTTCTTGATACTAAAAATAAGTCTTTACATGTTAAACGATAATTGTTAGTGGAATTGTTCAAGAGTCATATTTTTTATAAATGCTCCTTGACTCAAGAATTGATGAAAACTATCCAAAACTAACTAGGTACTTACATGTTTATGGTGGACCTCGTCGGCCAGCTCAAGGTCTTCAGCCTCGTGCAGCAGCCGGTATTTCCTCTCCAAGTATCCTTCGTAGAACGACCCTAACACCATCAGCACAGCCACCAGCAGCATCACCGAGCTATTGAAAATAAAACAAGAGCAACTTTTTGGATGAAAATCGGCAAGACCTGGAGCGAGATCAAACGCGAAGCTCAAGACCGAACGCGATGGAGGACTCTGCCCCATCTAGGGGTCAAGTAAGTCATAGTACCAATATTGGTGGGAAGTGGGGATGCATACGTTTGAAAATGCTTGTCGCGGGAGGTGCGATTTATTTGACGTCGAGTGTATAACTAAACAAGGGCCATTAACATAAACAAACGTTACTGAATTATGCATCAACATCAAATATTAAACGGCAATTTAACTTTAATGTAATTTATGCAATTTAAGAGCACCTCTGCTGTTATAATTAATTTTCTTGTTTTAGTTTATGCTCAACCTGTATGCTCAAGTTTAATTACATTAATTTATCATCGTCTTCTCTAATTGTAAGATAATCTCAGTCAAACAGTTGCTTAATGTATTGCCGAAACAATGTTGTAATATAATATCGCCCATTAGCATGTAAATTGATGGCTTTAACGACTTAGCAGACCAAACATATTATGCAGATGCGGAATAAGTACATGCATTGCAGCTTAACTGACCGTTTTACCACAGTTTATGGTACTAAATGGTTTAATTAAATGTATTTATCATAGAATATGCTAAATGCCTGTCATTCCCACTGAAAATTGCAGTGGAAATGACATGCAAAAATTTTACGTGACACGTACCTAATTGAATGGTAATTAATGCACGGAGCTTTTGTCTGTGTCGGTCTTTACATAAGTTACTATAATTAATACAATACGGATTATGTTTGTACATATGACCTAAATAAAATTAATTAACAGAAACTCAATACTCGAGAGATAATACTCGTATTAATTATTTTTCTGTGAAAACCCAAAACCGCGGAAAACGGCTCCACAAACACACCTTAACAAAATAAATGTTATTAAATACATTTCGTCATTTCCAAACGAGCCGCAACCCTGGATGCGTATTATAATGTTTTCAAACCAAATGAATTAACAAAAATTTTGACGATTTTGAATGAAGTTTAGAGATCTAACAGTTAAGGTCAAAATCTTAAATCTTCTACATAAATAATAGCATCAAGATCAAGTCGTCATACCAGTAGGAATAATGGAAGTGAACAGTGCTGCTATATCGATATTGTTTTACCGAGTACACCCAAGAGATTCCCAGTCTTAATTAATTCCAGGCTTCGATTCCCAATCTAGCTACTATTTTGGCGGCACGCTAGGCACTGTTCGTAGAAGCCGATTAAGTGATCATCTGTTCCCCTCATGTACCCTAATGCGATAAGCTATATCATTTCAGAGACGGCGTGAAATCTGTTCGCGTATCAGACCAAGAAATCGATTCTAGACATCGAAAACTTACCAATAGATTTTTGTGGTCGTCCATATATTTTATCAGATTCTGGTTACATTTTGATTTTGTTATGTTCAGTTTTGTTTACCAATTTTTACAATGAAGTTATTTAAATTTATCACTATCGCAACATTTTAGCAAGATTCAATTTACAAAACTCCTGTAGGTATGAATTTATTTGTCTATTTAACATCATCAAATAAATAAAAACAAATGCCTATCTCGGTAACAAAACGTGGAAAAAGAAAAAAATTATAACCGGCCAGTGCAGTGGCGCGGCCAAAAAGGTTCCAACCAGCCAGGATGCATTAAATAAAATAAAAAAAATATGACAACATTCAACTTGAAGGAAGCGCGGTTTTTAATTTACAGGGGAATTGCTTTTAAACTACTTTTTGACTTTATCAGCGTAAACAAAAGAAATCTTCTTTAACTTTCATAAAATATTTAAATTCATTTATGTAAAGTAACCACAAGTTTCCACATTCATTATAACTCGGCTCGCGGCTATCATAAAGCTGAATATGTTGTGCGCCCCAGTGTCCAGATAAATCTTCACTACGCGATCCACTTTGCAAAAAGGTAAACTTGGTCTAACGCTGACATGTTTCCTGAAAACTTTTTGCTAATAGGTAGGTACTTTGGTAGTTTTTGCTTCTGGTTAGGTTATCTGTGGTTTTAGACATAAAAAGCACAAAACTCAACATAGCTATTTTTCGTAAAGCTTGAGATAATAGTGTAGACAACTCCTGAACTTTCCCACTCTTTGCAGCGTGTGATTGTATATGTGTGTGATGTTATGCTATAAACTTTTACTGCCGTACAATAAATGTAACCATTATTTACGTTATGTTGATTGTAAGGAAAATCTAGGTATTTTTTATGTAACTATTGGTCATAACTAGTAGCGAAACGCCGGATAAAGGTCATAGCAGAATATCAACTCGGAAAGGGATCATTTTGCGAGCTGTTAATCGCGAGGCGAGGCGTTTACGTTATGGTGCGGATAACTTTGCGTTGAAGTATGGAGTTTCATACAAATAATACTGTCCGCCTCGAGTGGATACGGTTACGATCCCTTTCCGGGTTGATAAATGTGCTACGGCTTTAAAGGGATTTACATCTCCACGTGTCAGGCGCGAGTGACGTAAAGATGTGGATGTACCCTACACTCGTTGTAATGTGGATGTACCGTAAAGCTTCAGTGCAGCTATACATCACGGCGCTTCGGCAGGATTTCACCGTCACCTGTACATTCAATTACCGCCGGATACGTAAGAGGATCAATGTTTATCACAGATTGCCGCATTTCGCATTCAAACACATTCCAACGTCGTTAGGTTATCGATTCGAAGACATGAATTACATGTTTAGGGAGGAACACCCCTAACATAGATGTCTTCAATGATGTGAAGATATTGAGGCATTTTATTTCAATATAATAAACCTCTATAATGGTGTGATATTCAAGCAGGGAAAGAAATCTAAATTGTTAGGTCGAACATAAGTTTATGTAGCTAGTTATTTAAACATAAAATGCCCTCAATGATGTTGTATGTTTTTATATAAACGTGAAAGTCTCTAAGAATAGTCGTTCACTAAGTAGGTACTCTTTCTCGCAAAAAGGACCTATCAGATTCTATTAAACTTTATTATAGCTTGAAGTACGCTAGCTAAAACCACATACTAGCATAATAGTCTTGGGAGAACACTAGGATTCAATAAACATTTCTTGTCCCTAGAATATGTGGCTTTATGATTCATACGATCTACGACCTTATGTTGTAGCGCACAGCTGACTCGGTTACATTTACAAATGAGTTCTTTGCATTTTATTCGTTCACGTGCACGATGCAACACTGCACTTCTAATAAAAATAACTTTTGTTTGTCCCACTTTTACCTAAGTAGATTCGACCCACTTTTATGTAAAAGCTTCTTTATGAGTTCGTGTAAGATTATAATAACTGTATCGTGCATTCAGTACAAGGTATGAAACCGAAGGACTTATATAACTTTAGTTTCAATAAGAGGAGTAAGTTAAAAATCAGAAGCTGGAAAAAATTTTCAGCCCTAAATACCTATACAATTGAAATTCGGTCAAAAATGAGACTATATTTTTCTTTTCTTTTAAAATTGCTCTGGCAAAATGGTCGTCTCGTAGTTAGGTATTGCTATTAAAATCATGGGAGAGTCACCTTTTGGCTGCTTACAAAAACTACGAGTAACATCATTGAAGTGCTGTCAAATACCCTATTGAAGATAAACAATACTTACGCTAGTATCTGGAACTTGCGGTCCGCGTATACATCGTAGGGCCCAGGCACAGGCCGCACGTTGAGCGTTCGCAGCGACGCGGACAATCCGGCAGCGGCGGCGCGGGCGGCGGCGGCGCCCTCTGCTGCTTTCACCACCTGCTCCACTGACGCCACCCCGCATGAGGCTGGTAAGCACTCGCCCACCAGTATTGTTCTTCCCTGAGAAACAAAGGAAAATCGAAGTAATTACCATCCAAAACAGAAGCAGAAGAACAATGGGATTGGATTGTGAATTTGTTATAATGGCGCATTGCAGTATCCTTCTTCTGGGGTCTACTTGGCTACTCCATCTGATCTGCGGCTTACTATGCCCTACAAAGAATTATGTATTTTTTTCGGACAACGTATTGATCACCTAATAATTGAAATATGTGGTGCTTTTTAGCTGACCTTTCGCCACACGATAGCTGTACCGAACTAAGCAAATTTCTTGTCCTATTAGTTTAAGACCTCTGACTTGAAGAAATATATTATTATCTGAAAACAAATTCAAACGTGCTTTGAAAAGCACAGAGATGTCGTTATAAAAGCAAACAAATGGCGCTGCCTCGTCGAGCTACGAGTACAGCCTGTACTTGCCGGAAATAATATCCAGGCGATTTATCAACACGTGAACTTGTAACTTAAACGGGAACCCTGGATATTCCACTTGACTGCTGTAAATCTCTCATTTCACTACTAAGTCAACCCACTTACGTCAACTGGCGTGAGCCGATAAACGGTGCTCGTGAACATATCACCTCGTGGCTGGGTTTGGCTCGCGGATTCTGCAGTTGAACTTAGGTACCGACTTTACTATTGAAACCAGGGCTCGATTCTAAATTCGTTACTATTGGCCCCTGTTGTTATGAGTAAGTAGAAACACAAATTATATAATTGACACTAAATATTGAAATTGAAAAAATCACAAAGTTACAAAGTTAAATATTACGCTTGAGTGTGAAGTGAGCGTTGATTTCAAATGTCAGACATCTAGCTAAACTAAAAGAGTACTCAGAATTAGCCCCGATAAATTCCTCCATTCACCTCGCCCATAAATACGAACCTTTGTTTTTAAAACTTCCACGAACGAACCGCTGCCAAAGCTGAGACTCTCGAAGATTCAGAAGAGTGCTCCATCAAACTAAGTGTACAACGATGTCCTCATAACAGCGTCGATCGGTTCACAAAGAGTAACTCCACCGAACTGTATGTTTTGGACAGCAACAAAGATTAAACTTTCAACCGAACTTCATATCGACAGAAAGTTCAGCGGTGGAGGTACTAGTGAAACTTTTATATTAAAAGTTCCTTAATGTTGGCAGGGATTACAGTCAGTCATTCAAAGTCGATCGTATTGTTAGTTTGGTGTTGTTTTGGAGAGTACTTGTTGTCAACCACATTTATGTCACCAGATAGCGCTATACATTGCTGCTTACATTTTTAGCACTCATTATTTTATTAGCCTAATAACTCAGTCTTGAATTAGTTAATTATATTTAACTCTATTTATCATCAAAATAAAAAGGTGACTGACACTAATTAGTAATCTAATGCAACTGAAAACTGCATAAACTAGATAATATAATTATCACTTGGGTACCTATTTCATTACGAAAGTGTAATATTTATGTGTAATAATGTTTCAAAACCTTCTGTTTAAATCAATCATAAAATTATTACACTAAAAAATGTTGTAGGTACTCGCCTGACACTAAATAATAACTACCTGCGGTATGTGATCCCTGTCGATGGTGATGTTGATCCTGATGACGTAGAAGCCGGCGTCGAAGGGCGGCACCTGGTCGTAGTACTGCGGCAGCTGCAGGTCGCGGCACTCCATCATGGAGCCCAGCCAGAACTCGTTGCCGAACAGCATATTGGGGTTGTACTGGCCAGATGCATCGTACACTGGAAAATGAGAAAAACATGTTCAATCCCATCGCGAGGTAAGGATTTATACCTAGCCTAGATACAACTAGCTTTACCCGCGAGTTTGTACTCGTGAATGTAGTTTGAAAAATGTTTCCCGTATTTCCATCATTTTTCATTGATTCTGCACTCCCATTGGTCGTATCGTGCATACAGGGCGTTACTATAAGTATGGATCAAGCAAAATATTGATCACATCACGCAGCAGAATCAAAATAGATTGAAAGAATGTGATGTGATAAAATGTCAGTGCAAATATCCCCAGAAATGCGTTAAACCAAGAGATTCAAATTCAAATTCTTTATTGCGAACTAAATGGCTATACTTAGTACAGCGCCTCTACCTCTAGAGGTTATCGAGTCTCCCGCAATAACATTTTAGGTTCTAGATTGAATTTCTTTCAGTTATTGGAGTTTTCTTGCTTATGTTTACGTACCGATTTTCTTAATGGTAAGTAAGTATATTGCTATAGGAGTACTTAGAAATAATCCGACGAATATTCGACACACCAGCCGCGAGAAACTGCGTTTAACAACTGAAATTGCTATTGTAATAAAACATAACCATGTTGCTCTGTAATATGTTTTCACACATGTTTATGTTTATCTTTAACTAAAGTAGACTCGTAGGTTTATTATTAAGAAGCACAAACCTACGGATAACCATTTTAGCATCGGCACACTCGGCAATAGCGTTCGCTGTTAGTAATAGTTTCACTTAGCTGCGTCCTATTAGCTTTTAACTCCATCAAATATGTATCGCTCGCAAATGGGTGGCAGTGGCAGCGCTTTAACGCTCGTGGCTTTAGTTTTTGCAGACTGCGAGTTATTTCATGAAAAACGCTTTTTTGAACGCTCTATTTTAATAAGTTAAAGCTTTTAAGTTTTCCGATTCATGAGCCATCAATGCCATCCATCCAAAAATGGGTGCGCATTTTTTGCACTTAACTGAAAACAACTTAAGACTATCAAGGCATTTAAACTTGTTTTCTACGATCTAAAAGATAAGTAATTAGTGGTATAATTTAAAATTGAACACGTCATCCTAAGTCTTTTATATTTTTATTTTATTTCACTGAAATTAGGTCCTTTCTATTACTTTATGCTGTAGAATGACTTTATTTTCAACTTTAACACCTGCCTATATGTAGATAGGGGAGAGTTCGGTATATTGTACCGCCGGGTAAATTGTACCACCATCCTATCTCGTAAAGTATTTATTGAATGTCTGTAATTGCTACACTCAGCGATACACAACTAAAATCAATTAATATCGGCCATGTGGTTTTTGCCGTGACAACAAACACGTGTGTTTTATTTTGAAAAGTATTTTTTCATTGTTTTCAAGTAACTTTTGACAATACATGTTTAGTTTGTAATTTTGTTAAATTTAATCACAGGGTGTTTCTAATATATTATTTAGAAGCGTAAATTAGTGTGGATTACAATTATTTGAAACATTTTTCGGTATTTATAAGCTATATTTTTTACCGATTTTTTAAAAGCACTATCACCTAGTCGGCTAAATTGGACCACACCAAGTTGTATGGAACTTTACCAAAGGATTTTGAATTTTTTTTTAGTAAATCATATTTTGAAGTTATAATAGCGTAGTTATGTTTGACTAACAATAAATGAAAGCAAAAGACTGGCAAAGTAGATTAGGTACAAGTGTGTGTTACGATAATTGGAATTACAAAACTTGTACTCAAAATCGTGATAACGTGTAAAATAATATCGATTGTCTATGTTATTAACTACTGTTCCTTTTCGTTTCCTAATTTGTTAAGAATGTATCGTATAATATTTTGCCATAGTTTTTTTATAGGCTTGAAATTTATTGAAATTCAATTTAGTAACCCTGTGGTACAAATTATCCAACCGGTTGGGTAAATTGGACCGAAGCTCTGAACTCGTACTTTGTTGATTTGTGCTAAATATACAACAATCATGTTAATTAATACTTATGAAATAGTAAGTTGAATAATGTACCTTTTATTATATACCATGGACATTAGCAAAAACAAAAGAAAACTGTGTGTAAAATGGTATTGAAAAAAACTGGTCCAAATTAGCGGACTCCTCTCCCTTATGTGTTTTTAGTAATACCGAACTTGTAAGCGTACATTTACATGTAGGATGTTGTACTTACACGCTTAATCTGTAAACGCGTGAGTACGTATTTTCCGCAAAATATTTATGCACAGAAAAAGCTTTGAATGAATGATGTACGGCTGATATAACATTATGCTAATTTTAGTTGTAATAGGTGCCAGTTGCAATAAAATTGTACAGTCTGATGCACATCATATTATACATACTCGTACATAATGAAAGTTACAATATGTAAAGTTAGTCTCACAAACACACTTGAACCACTTAGCACTTAGTGCCGATAACTCGATAAATTGAAATATCCCAGCGGATTTTAGGTCAATTGAAATATCTTTCTACCTAGGAAAAGAGCAATAAATTCACTCGTAGTCGTTAATTAGCCTTCAATTCAGGTCAAGAGCTACCCTGGTTTTCGAATTAAAAACGTGTTTACTATTTTTTCAACTGAACTGAAGTTTGATGTCATGATAAAGTTTTCGTTCTATACAAAACATGCTATATCCTAAGATTTATTTATGAATAGCCAACAAAACTAAATTGTAAGCAAATACTCGGAACTTGCAAATTGTACACGAAAGTTTTCCTTTACATTGTCAATTTTGGCCTTATACCATTTTTTGGCCTTTAAATACTTTTAGATATTCAGATGTAGATATTAATAGAGTGAAAACAAGTACCTACTGTTAAACATTTACGAGTACGTACTTAATTTAATATTAGGTAGGCCTGTATAAAGTATGGTGAAGTAAATGTCCTAGGAACTCCCATAGCCTAGTTCCTAGCTTAGAAAGTTATTATCTTCTCTGAAGTTTCTGTCAAATTAGTTTGTTTGGAATGGCGGATGCCGCAGGTTGTCCAGTCACGTGCACCAAGATTATAGCACAATATACTTAAGACACTTTTGACCCTTATTGCCTCGACTTAAGGACTACGAGCGCCTACTGTACGCTCTGGGGGCTGCACATTTCGTTGATTTATCGTTTCCACATTTATTAATTCCGTGAAATATTGCCCGTTACAAGAGCCATTTCTCCCCGGCTCCTTGGGTTGAACGAAAAATTTCTCGGGCTAAATATTGTTGTTTTCTTTATCAAATGGATGTAAGCATGCACGTGAATTTCGATTTGTCATAAAGAACAATTTTTCTCTTGAGGTTTAGTTGTTGGGACAAAAACAATAATGGATTAACTGTAACTGAGTTTGGAACGCAATTTCAAGCGAAGTTATCGCATAATTTTGTTATTTTAGAGAACCAGCACTATTTAATGTTTAAATGATCATGCTTATGTAAGTAAATTATGAAGATTAAACAATATTGAGACGTTCAGCAGTCAAGATGATATTGAAGCACCCTCTAAATAATGCAAGCGAAGGATGCCCCCTTGAATCAATCCGCCATGAGCCTACCACTGTAATATTCACTGAAGCAGGGCCATTCATGAAATTATAATATGCCCACTGGCCCAGGTATAATAGCTTCTTAGCATCTGATTTGTTTTCCATATATAAGTAAGTACCTACAACATTACGCAAGCCGCAACAAAATATAATTACTGAAATATAAACAAAGAAATCTCTTCCTGGCACGGTGGGCACATTTCAATTTGAAACGAAAATAGGTAGTATGTATAGAATTTATACAAAAACATCCGCGAAAAAAAAAAAAGATACAGTTCGAGACAGATGATCTGGGTTCACTGTAAAACATTTTTACAAACAGCAGTGTATTTGAAAAAACCGTTTTGGAAAAATTATGACTTTTATTATTTCAAATACAAGTTAAGGTAGCTTCTAATTCGTATCCTCGAGGCGACCCTTTTCAAACTTGAATTGTGAGCACTATCAAATCAAATATGTATTCAGTTAGGTCCTTTCCAGGGCACTTGTACAGAGCAGAGATCAAGTAAAAAGAAAGTTTTCTGGAGTCATGATTGTTCATTTTGAAGAGCCAAACTTATAGTTCAAAGTCTATTTATTGTAGTATTATAATGTAACCTATCCTACTTATATTCAACGACTTTAGAAATAAACTTTTGTAACGTAAAGTCTATAACTTAGTCAAAGGAATCAAAGCGTCATTTGCATTCCATTCCACTAAACTCACAAAACAAAGCAATGGCAACCCAGATACCGCGCTGTTACAAATTCATTTTCCGTATTAAACCCGCCGCTGAACTTTACCTTTAAATTACAGTTACATCATTTACAAAACAAATAGTTTTAGACAGTGCTAATATAAATGATACCTTTCCCCGTTTGTAATGCGAGTTTACTAACACGGGGCTATCCGGTGACAGTTTTGAAAATAAGGCCATTGTTTAGCATTCATGCTGGCATTTCGAACATCATATTTCCCATTTGTAACTTTGAAATAGTTGAGTAAATACTTGTAAGTAACGCCCGTACCTATTCACAAACATTACTATGAAGTCTCACAGTGCGTGTGGATGCACAGGGTGACACACGAACCAATCACAGAGCTCTATTCAACGCTGTGCGTTTGATTTGCTGCTTCTTTGCTGCTCGCATCGTTTGTGAATACGGGCGTAAGTCTAAATAAACGGATGCTTAGCGCTTAAATGAACTCAGAAGTAGAAGTAAAATTATGTCAGGAGTCTTTATATCGCCGCATATAAGCTGAAGTATTTTTCTATTAGACAAAATATGAATAACATGATCAAAGATACACGCAGTAGGCAGCTGCCTCACCTTGTTATTTAGATACGCGAAGGGTAATGCCGCTCAAATAACTCCAAGCTTTTATCTTAGTCTAATCGATTTTACGCTCGTCTACATCGAAAAAAGATAAAGGCACAAAATATATTTTCTTTTTATAACGTGTCTGGAAATTTTTCATATTCCAGA